CCCCCCAATCCAGCCAGACTGGACTCCCTGTAAACGGTAAGCTTCACGAACAACAAGCTTTATTTTTGCTTTTTCTTTTTTGTGTCCCCTGACTTCAGTCAGCATTGCTTGTCCCATAATCCATCAGAGAGTCGTCTCAAGAACCTCATACAGAGAGAGTGGAGGAACCTCTCCAGATCCCGGCCTTTTCCCAACCGTCCAGTCCCCAGTGCAATGCAAAGCGCGCGCGAAAGAAACCGATTATGCTGTCGCAGGACCGATAAAGTGCATGACGGGCATCTTACCCATTCCGAAAACAAGCCGAACAAGCAACATCCATCCATCCATCTATTCACAAGAAAACTCGCTGTACATAGTAAACTCCTCCCCCCACCAGCCAAACATCCCACTCCCCTGGAACCAATGCCACTCGGGCTCACCCTTGTGACAATCATCACGGAGGCTTCTCTGCACACGTCAAGTCCAGGGCTTACTTACTTCTATGCTTTTCAGTTTGGAATCCCACTCCGGATATCTGCCGAATTTCAAAAAGTTGCTCCCACTATGCAAAACCAGCACGGCGTCCTCCCTCAAACATCATCTTTATTACCATGTACCCACAACAGGCTGCTCAAGGAAGAATGAAGGAGGGTCTACAGGAAGCCGATCCTGTCCAAAAACGGCCAATACAGTCGAACCGCCAGACCCTGTCTTTGCCTGCCGGCCGCCGACCGCAGCGGCACAAGAAACCGACGCAGAAATCCCCACCACAAAGGCCCCGAATAGTCAATTGCCTGCTCTCTCTCTCCTGTCCCCTTCTTGTCCTAATATCCAATATCTATTCGACATATTCATTCCACCAACAGACCCAAAATACGACACCACGAAAAAGAAGCCTCTCCCATCCATCAAATCCATCCCTTCCACGCACCCCCCATCGAACCCCAGTCACACGAACCACGAACTCCCCCCTCTTCCCTTCCCAGCCCACCCACCCACACCCTCGAACGAGGCCGTTTCATCTACGCGTCTATCGGCACTGAACTTCGGAAGCCTCGTCACTTCTTAAAAAGATCCCACAGACTCTCGTACGGATATACTACGCACTACGCATGTTCTCCCCTTCCCCACCAGGTCATACCCAGGTAAAAATCCCATCCGGGCGGCCGCTGTGCTGTGCTGTACCGTACTGTACAGTGCTCTCTCTCTCTCTCTCTCTGTCTCCTATGCTACTACTCCTACTCCTGCCCTCGAACCATGACCCCTACAACACCATCAACGTCTCCATCTCAAGGATCTCCCACCCCCAAATCCATCCCCCCCTACCCTCCCCTGCCAACCGCCTGATGCTTAACGCGACTTTATCCTAAACTGACCACATAACCCAAAATTTGGCAAATAAGAACTCGTACCTTTATTTTTATTGATTTTCTTTTGCTTGTGCGTCAAAAAGAAAAGTCTGATCTACCGACTGTGCAAAGCTTGCAACTAAGGCCCCATCAACCAATAATCCGCTGTCAGTTCGCCTCAGAAAAAGATCCCGGACGGACGGAGCCTCAGACTCAAAAAAGTCCACCACCTTGTCTGCGCAGACCTTATCGTAGCAAGCAAGATCTGTCTTTCCCGCAGAACCACCAGTTCGAAACCGGTCTGCAACGTGACGTGGGGAAACATTTCACTTCAGAGCATGCTAGCCATTGTGGGACAGACTGATGTTGGTAAAAAAGTATTGCCAGTGTATTGCGCCCGGTGCTGTACCGATAACGCGGATGAGGCAATCTCGTAATACTATGTACGGTGTAAAAGAAAAGTAACGACTGTTCAATGCAGGATCTCTGTAGTGATGCCTGGCCAACCCCATTTTTACCGTGATGCACCCAAATCCCCTTGGCCCGATATCGTAATCTCGCGTTCCCAAGTGTTTGGACCGCCCTAAGTGGCTGGTCCGATAGTGATTCCTAAACGCCGTGGCGATGCTGAAGAAAGGACAAAAACAAACAAAACTTCCCAGGCTAACGTTGCAATGCAACCCATTGTCATCGATAGACCATTTCCTCCTCTACCCTGTCGCGCAACTCCTCTTGTTTTTGACTATGCGCGCTCTAGATGCAGAACTTGCGGTCCAGAGCTTGGAGCGCCTTAACGTCGTGGCTCATGTTGGCCGAACGATCAATTGGCGGCGGGAGACCACCGAGGGCGCCACCTGTCCGCGGAGAGCTGGTGGCACTGTTTACACCGCCGTTGGCACTGCTGGGCTCGGAACTCGAAGGGGTAGGATGCAGCAGAAGAGCAGACAGGCTGGCCTTGTTGGGAAGAGGCGCCACACCGTTGGCATCGGAATGCGCACTTCTGGGAGGCGAGACAGACAACGTCCTGTTGGGAGGAGTGTGTGTGATCGGGTGACTGGCGGAAGGAGCGCTGGAGACGGCGTTGATCCCCGGCAGAGTATTAGGGTTGCGGGGACCGAGTCTGGGGTCGATCATTACCGCCTGCGCGGCTTGAGCCTGCAGGTGGGAGATGCGAGGGGACTCGGAGGCACGCGACTGTTGAATAGAGGCCAAGCGAGGCGACTGGTGCTGCGGTTGTTGGATCTGCGCCAGGCGAGGCGACGGGTGTTGAGGAGCGTAGGGCGCCAGAGGCTTCTGGACGGTCGGCGGCGGGAGAGGTGCCCGGTCGTAAGGAGACAGATGGTGGAGCGGAGGCGCATGCACGTAGTGCGGTTGTTGAGCCGGCGAGTGTGATACTTGAGGAGGCGGCAGCTGATGTTGCGGCGGCTGTTGAGGCGGATACGGAGATGTGGTGTAGTGGCTATAAGGAGGTGTTGCCACCGGCGAGGGAGGCCACGAGTAGCCCGTTTGCTGTGCATACTGCGGAGGGTAGGCTTGAGGCATTGGCTGTTGAGGGTGCTGCTGTGCCATGTAGGGAGTCTGTTGCAGCATCGGCCCTCTTGTGAGAGCGGGAGTAGGATTACTGTCGTGGAGGCTGGACTCGGGGTACATTCCCTTCATGGGGGTAATGTGTCTGAGCTGAGCGTCGGTGCTGGGTTGCTGGAGCTCTGGTGATCCAGGGTGTGGTCTGGAGTAGTAAGATATGAGGTGGAGGTGCTGGCCGGTGGAGGTGGTGATGCTGAAAGACTGCTTCATCAAACCGTCCGCCTTGTATCGGTAGCCCTCAGGCTCGCCGTCTTCCTGGTCCTCGTCGCTACCGCGGCCAGAGTCGGGCGTCTTGCCAGCACCCCGTCTACCGCCGCCGAAGCCGCTGCCACGCTTGCCCTCCATTTCGCGGTAGGTAAGGAAGCTACCAGAGACTCGGCTGGCGCTCCATGACTTTCCGTCGGTCCACCTCCGCATGCCCGCTTCCCGCTCGTCCCATACAAATACTGAGCCGGATCGAATAGATTGGCGTTCCTTCTCTGATAATCTGCGTTGAACGCGAGGCAGGAGACCGAGTCTGCAGGCCTCAAAGAGCTTGATGGCGTCCGCGGGTGTCCGCACAAAGCCGTGATATGTCTCCATGTTGATGATGGATGAAGTGTGATAAAGTTGATTGGTGTGAATGAGAGAAGAGAAACAAGAGATGGTAACGAACGATCGCCGGAGTGAAAAGATAGGATGGGTAGAACCTTTATATCAAGATGAGAAAGCTGGTCCGAAAGTAACTCTCCAGCAGTCCTCCACTGCAGCCCCACTGAGTTCGTTTGGGGTAGGGATGGGTTGAGTAGGAATCGGCACAAGTTACCCTCGACGAGAAAGGATCCTTGGCTCGGTGCGCCTTATGACGGTGACGGGTAATCCGCGGTCGCAGGAGAAAAAGAGTTTTGGGTTAAGCCGATAGCTATGGTTAAACCCCCAATATGACCAGTCTGTCACGCCAAGTGATTGTCCAGAGGGCAAGTCAGAGTGAGACGTCTCGTAGGAAAAAGGCCGAGGGTCCAAACTTTTTCACTGTGGGCGCGGTTGTATTTTGGTATGGGGACGCGTGGGTTGTGAGCGGCGAGTGCTGATACCACTGACAAACGCTTCGAGAAAGAGAAACGGATTGCGTAGGCTAGATGACGCAGGGCGAACTGGGTTAGCTCCTCAGGTTCTCGGTAGGTAAGGGCGACGACGAGCTCCTCGACGATAGGATGAAGGTGTTTCGCAGGCGGTGACGGGTGATGACAGAAGCTTATTCACAACTCGACAAAGAGATGGGTTGAGGCGCATTGAGTCGCACGTCAAGCTTCGAAAGGGTGGAGATGGTGAAGGTGAACGGGATGTTGGAGTTGGTGAGAGCTGCTTGTGGCAGGCTTGCGAGACGTGCCAGGTATGGAGTCCAGAGGCATCTGACTGGGCTGGAGCAGCACCTGTACCATATATATCCTGATACAACACGCGCAAGCCCACACTAGCAGTCGCACCCCCCGGCAAAGGCCAAGCTTTTGGCGACAGGGAAGTCATGGTAAGGGAGGGGGGACTAGGGCAAGCCAAGGGGCAGGGGTACGAATGCAAAAGGGGGCGTGTAGGAGACGAGGGGGTGTGAAGAACGGAGAAGACGACGACGACGACGAGGGGGCGTGGGGGAGGGGAGTGTTAACAAGACTGAGCAAGACTGGGCATGGGTGATAAAGTGACTTTGGGACTTGGGAAGACTACTCCGTACGCTTCGAACCAAAAGTGGAGGCGACCCGGGTGACCCAAAATTCCTTCTGGAATCGCCCTGCGCGCACACACGCTCTCTCTTTTTCTCTGCGCCGTCACAGCCGATCCACTGAAGAAGATGACGGAGACGGGGGGGTGGTACTGCTTTTTTCGACTAAAATTGCCTCTTGGACCATCCCTGAGCGGGCTCAGTAGAGAGGCCGAGATGACCGATGGCCGAGTCGCACTTGGGGGCCGGCTGTGGGAAAAGAGGCGATGTGCATGAAAGATGCGAGGCATGTATACACTCGATGGAGAGAATTGCGTGCAGATTTGGGAAGGCCATGATCAAGCAGCTCGGAGACATGGGCAGAGGAAAAGCATGAAAACGGTGAAGAGTGTTCGACTGGCCAACAACCTGAGGTGACGGATGAGCACCAGGAAGCTTCATCGGACAAGTGTGTGATCACCTCTTGACAGGTGCTCCTTTGGACGTCGTGTCCTCGACGGTTGCACTACAACTTCTGATAGCGCCCAAGCACCAGAGCATTATGTCGTCCATCAGCCAGCCCCTGCAATACCGCGGCCCCCAAACGTCCCCCATCAGGATAAATAGTAGTAGACGTGAGGGTGACACGAGACATTCGAGGAGAGCAGAGAGTGATGCAGATGCAGCAGGCGCCCATTCCAACCAGGGAGACAATGCTCCTGATCGACAACGAAGCTTGACTACTACAAAAACATGGAGAGGGGCCGAGATGGAGACAAACGGGGCGTATACGACGGGGTAGAAGGATGGGTAGTGAGTAGGTATCGAAACAGTGAAGTGCGTACGTACCTCTCTCTCTGGTGTGTTTTGTGACGGGGATGCCAAGGTTGCCAAGGTTGCCTGCTGGTACGGATAGTGAGAGACTCTTTTGATGGATGAATTGATGGTGTCGGTGTCAGCAACGCAAATATGGGCGGCGGGTGGATGCGCTATAGAGTCGACCCGTCGTGTGTCGGATCGTCGTCCAAAGCCAGGACTGAAGCGTATGGGGAATCTTGACACTTGTTGTTAGATTGAGACCCGCGGGAGATGAACGACAAGGCGAGAGTCGAGATTGGCTACGGCGGCCCAGCAGCTGCCGATTGCGTTGACTTCTTTATGCTTGATCCAGTGCCGAAAGGGCGAGTCTGTCGGCCGGGCGTCCTCTTGGGTTGGGTGGGAGGGGACCACATTGAGTAACAGAGTTAACGGCGTCCAGGGGTACCGCCGCAAGTCAAGGTCCGGCGGTTCGAGGACATAGGACAGAAAAGGTTGAGTGCGCAGCGCTACTTTTGGATGCCTTGCCGGCCTTTTGGGGGGGCACTGGGGCCACGTCCGGGATGGGCCCTCGACGACGGTTTGCGCGGACAAGCCGTTGGATGTTGCTGTACGGACAGGTGGTGACGAGCTTTGGGACGAGATGGCTGGTGTGGGTTTGGCTGTTGGACGGCACTGAGCAAGAGTCCGAACGACGGGAATACCTGTCTGGGCACGAGTACTCGGTATAGTTAGGAAATCCCGGAGACCCCACCGATAACCAACTTGAGCAATGGGCTTGGTGTATCCGTACAGAGTACGGATACGGATAGAGTAGTAACCTTGGTGCGGTGATGATAGTGCGAGCAACGGGGGCAAGGGTAGATGACGACGCCAATTGGGCGCAGTTTGAGGTGATTGGAGGGGGACAGGATGATAATGGTAGTCTCCCTTATGTGGGCTGAGATTGATGGGCAGCGATTGACGGGGCGGAAAATTTGAGGTCGAGGAGAGACTTGGGTATGCAGGCGTGCTGTGTCAAGAGTCGCGAGGGCTTCGGGATCGGGATGTGGGAGGGTGGGTAAAAGGGAGCATCTGTCCAGTGTCTAGCGAGTCTCAAGGTCTCAAGCCCCAACTTTACTACGCCACCAGGCCTCCCAAAAGAGTTTGTTCTGGCCCAGAGCCAAAGAGCAGTCGTGCAGGCCTGGCGACAGATTCAGGGGAGTGCCACAAGATGGGGAGAGGGCTGCACACATTCTCGGGAAGCGGGAGTCACTCGGAGGAGGGTACAGAGCACGAATGAGGGGCCCAGGGCAATGGTGAGGATGAACTACTAGGCACGCTGTACGCTGAAGGTGCTCCATCCGATAGGGGGAATAAGGGTATGAAGCGTAGTGTAAGGTAGCGTGATGGCTTGACTTACTTTGGAGAGAGAGTATCGATGGCCCTCCCACATACCAGCCGGACGTTCTGTTCTTTTTTTGGGGGGTCTCTGGCGCTGGAGATAATGGGGACTATAGGAACGCGTCGGCGTTTGGAGAGGCTGATGATGACGACAAGTCGGCCGGCAGCGTACGTATGTCTTTGGTGGATGTTAATAAAGTGTACGGATAGGCAAGTCTCCTCCCTTTCCTCGGTACTAGGTACCCCTTCCAGTTGCAGCCTCTCTGCCTCAGTCGACAGAAGGGGGCGTATGGAGAGCAGGATGGTTCGTCAGGCTAAGCTCCTCAAAGTGATGCAAGCTTCAGCTGTTTACGGTCGGTGGCCGCAGCCGTGGCCGTAGCCGTAGCCGCGGAGCCGGATGCTCTGTACTTGTGCGGGTAGCCGGCAGAGTTAACGGAGCAAGACTCAGGTTGAAGAGTTGATATCCGTATTCTAGCCGTATTGTAGCGCGTGATAAAGGAGGAGCACGATTGGGGCTCCTGACCGGGAATAAGCTCAAACGGATACTCCGTAGGCTGTCTCTCTTAATTTTGGAGTTGGCTCGGGCGGAATGATTGTCGTCAGGGTCTGGGTTTGGCGTGCCGACTGATCCAGATGGCGCGTTTGCTGTGCCTCAGCCCGCAACCACCACCTACAGCGACCTGCGTCGGTGCCGAAAAGGCAGTAGAATGCCGGGGCTCGGATTCCCTCCTCAACAGCAGACCTCTCGCTTGTCGACCTGTGACTGTGTTTGTGTCTCCCGGTAGCTGGGTGCGACCATCTAGGACGCAGCCAGGACGCAGCGCGGTTCTCCGTTTGTAACGAGGAGCCGATTCCGCGGCGAAATTTGGCAACCCTCCCGGACGACCTATCGCTGGTCTCTGCCGGATGGTGAAATCGATGCGCCGCCAAATGTCCCCATGCGACGGATCGCAGCCAGGTGGGTATATAGTTATTCCACGACACTGGTGAGCATGGAAAAAAACCCGGTATGAGATGGACGGCAGATGAAGGCAAAGTTGAAGCAAGGCCAGGCCGCGAAGAATAATTTAAACCTGGACCAAGCACATCCCGTAGGCAACAAAGGCAAATGAGGGCGATAAGATGGATGTGGCGGCTAGCGAGAGGGTTTGGGCGTTGCATCCGTCAAGATGGATGTGACGGTTGGTGCATGGATGATTTGATTTCGCAGAGGGATCGGCCGTCCGCACACCAATTTCTCTCTATCACTCTGTCACTCTGTCTCCCTGACTCTCTGTCTCTCTCTCTGTGTGTGTCTTCGTTTGATGTCCGTCGTCAAAGCTGCCTCCTGACGACGCGTGCGGTGCAGGAACAGACAGAGACACCAAGGCCGACGGGATCTCGAAACCTCATTGATGTGATCCGAGATGAGGGACACGAAGAAGCCTGTACGAATAACTTGGGACGGGATCGAAAGAAAAGTGACGTGGATGGGTGGGAAACTGGAAGATGGGACGTCTGCGTTGTGGAATTGGATGCCGTTCAAAGTTCAGGTCGGCTGGGATGGGACGGAGACGTCTGGAAATGCGCCGGAGAAACGCTGCTGGAAGGCGCGGCGCGGCCTCCTTCGTTCCCTTTTTTTTCCCCTTCCTTAATTTTGTTCCTTATCCTTCTTATTATCCGTACATCTCCGTCCTGCCTGCTCCATTAAGACAGACACAAGAGTACATTTGTTTCTGCATTAGATTACATGGACGCGGGAGTTCCTTTTATTGACAATAGCAAGGAAGGAGCTCTCTCGATATGTGGGTGCGTGTGGCAGGCAGACACAGCCATGGACGGCAGGTAGGTACCTCATGGAAAGCGGGTGCAGATTCAGGGTGGAAGGTGCAGGCTGGCCGAAGTACGTACCCCCCAACCTTCCTTCCCTCCCTTCTCGAAAAGAATTCAAGCTTATTTCGACAGTCGCTGCACCAAGCTTTTTCAAAGTGGAGGCCAATGTATCCGAAAAGATACGTTCCCAAGATGGACCACTCACCGTCATCCCTTGTTCCTGGGGCGTGTGGTGTGGGTGGGTGGTCATGTCCGAGTCAGGGGCGTGGGGATAAGCCGCCTCGCCGTGGGGAGGGTGTGGAAAAAAAAAAAAAAAAAAGAAGAACAGGGGAGGAAGAGAGACGCGAGGTCCAAGTATCCGTACGGATATAGTTATTCGTGCAGAGTATCCGTACCGATAAGAAGAAAGATGAAAAGGGTAAAAACATGACAATGTCGCAACAGCAGAGGAAAAGCCATGTCGAATAGAGCACGAGGCCAAGCGGTGGCAGACGCAGAAACGCAAGAAAAGGAACGATTACGATGGGCCGCCGAGGCTCAATTCTCCACCACCAGGGCATTCATTCCACGCACCGAGAAGTCAAGTCTCTTTTTGCTGCAGTGCGCCGCGGAAGGGAACTTGCTTATTTCCACCCCCCCATGGAATCCCCTCAGCAGCAATCACTGGTCAGCGGCCTTTCCAAGGCCGCCAAGCCCAGACAAGCCCGCAGCCACCGGCGGCCCCACTAGAGAAGGTAAATCGCTGACCTTTCACTGTTCAGACTGCAGAGCTTCAGGGTGGTGGCCCTGGCCCCGCGAGCGCGCGTGGGTGGATTACAAAGTGTGGATAGGAAATCTGCACTATTTGTTCCGTGCTTCCCGCCGACAAAACGTCACCACCACTGTATCCGAGATCGAGGGTCCCACCATCGGCCACACTCCCCTCTCTTCTCTCTTCGGCCTTCTACCTAACTACGTATGTACTTCCTCGATGCTCAGTTGCCCACTCGCTCACCCACTCACTCATCCTGCTCGCTCGCTCACTCACCCAGCTCATACTCCGTATCCCCCGTCAGATCCGTCTCCAAAACGTCATCCAGGGCCCGTCTTCGGAACACGGAAGTAAAGAAACGGAACCCAAAAAAGTAGCAACCAAGCCAGGTGGACCATGAGACTCGATCGCCGATAAAGTGTGTGTGTGTGCGTGTGCGTGTCTTGCCTCCAATTCCGTTACTCCGTGCCCCAAATTCCCCAATACGACCGAACCTTGAAAACACCCGCCCTTGCCCACGCAAAGCCGGCAACGAACGGCCTGTCGAAACGAGTCGTGCGTTCGTTGTTTATTACAACATGAGCCCAAAAACGTGCCGCATCTTCCAGTAGGTCTCCCCCGGGGCCACACACACACACACAAGGAAGACCGTTCCAGGAAAAGGAACCCATCCATGTGTCTGTACCTAAAATGTTTAGTTCCCAGAGGAGGACCCCCTTTCTGCACCAAAAAGATTTTCCCGCGGGCGGCCGGCCGTCGTCCAAAAAAGCAAACTGGACCTGACCTTAGCCTCGTATAAGCAAACGCACGTCTGACTAAAAAAGCCAAAGTGGCATCAGGGTCTGGGAATCCATCCGTACAAGAAAAAGGATCTCTAGATTGCATTGGGACCGGCCGCTGACTACAGACCACATAATCTGTAGGCTAAATCACTAACCTTTTCTTCCCCCTTGCTTGCCCCGTAGGGACTCCCGTCTCGGAAAAAGGATGCGCCAACGTCTTCTTCCTTCACACACACAAGGTTCTGGAGAGGACGAGGGAAGGGGGGAGGGGGGTCGACTCAACTCCGCCTGTCTGTCCGGCTGTCCCAACAAGCATTGGTAATTCTTATTCTCTCCAGTAAAACACCCGACGAAGACAAATAGAGTATCCGGCCAGCGGCACGACTGAGCAGAAAATAGCAAATAATACGAGAGACGCAAACAAGGTTAAGTCCGTTCTGCCAGTCAGCTAGTCCGCTAGGCTGCGGTTGGAAGCCACTAGCATAGAATGTTCAGTCCAAATTAACCTAGACAAAACTAAAAAGGAAATGGAACATCAAATCCAAATATACCGTCCGCCTAATACGCCGCACTCGCATACCACCCCCCATACCCTCCCCTCCTCTTTCCCCCCTTCCCGACCGCGTAACCAAAGAATTAAAAAACCCTAAATTTGCCATTTGGCGCCCATCGGCCGGTCTTGGCGAAATGACACATACCAAGAAGGCTATGTGGACGTCCCAAGTCCCCCAGGCCCAGACATATGGAGCCAGTTAACATTGAGTTACGTGCGGTATAACCGTACCTACCTGCCTCTATAAGAGCCAGGGTAGAGGGGAGCATGAGACATAATGCACGAAAGAAAAGGCTCCACGACCTGTTGCTCTCATGTGCCATTGGGAAATTTTATCTCCTTGGACTTTTTTTTTTTGGCCTTGGTGTTGTTGCTTGACTCAACCGGGAATGGACACAATGGAGAGACATCGAGCCTGCTCAGCCACCTCTCCCAAGACGTTCAACTCATTTAACGCAACAAAAACTAAACGGCAGAGACCATTGGCGACCAGGCCAAGACCCGGCAACTGCACAGGAGCCAATACGGGCAATTGCATTTCACATTCACCGACTTACAGTGGAATACTTGCCCACTCTCACTTCTATCATTAGCCAAGCAAAGGTGAGCAAGAAAAGCGGAAACCTAAAGAGCCGCCGGGAACGGCGATATGACAGGTAACAAGCAGAGAAATAAGAGAAGAAGAAGAAAAGAAAAAAAGGAAAAAAACTAAACCTTGCGCCTGCTTAGACGAAATGCAAAGAAAAAAAACCCTAATCCAATCCAAACATCATCCTTTCAGTACGGTGACACCCACCCCGGGCGCACATCACACACGAATTCAAAGTCCCGTATCCAATTAAACCCCCCCGATGGCAATCAAAAGGAAGACGACGCCGATCACATTTGCGCAGAAACCCCATACCTATTCGCCAGCTCCTGGGAACTATCAAGCTCCCAATCTCTGTCTCCATCACGCATCCATTGCCAATGCTGCCAATGCTCTCACTGGACGGGGGAATTAACCATAATCTTAGCCACAAGCAATGGAAAAGAAGACTAAACTGGTCTAACCGCACCCGAGCATCCAAGCTACACCACGTACCCCTGCCGTCCCCCCGTGCCGTATCCCGTTCGCACCAAAGGCTATGACCAATAGTCGTGCAATTGTATTTCCAAGCCGGCGTTGGCCGCGAAGAAACTCCCTCATCCCTCCAAGCAAACGAGACCAGGGTCGTCTACCTTAGTGTCCCAGGCATGCAGGCAGGGCCTGCTAGGCTCAGGACAAGGCTCAGGATCACCAAGTTCTTCAATACCTCCATCACACTTATGGGTTACATAGTTACTGAAAGCCTCGCGCACAGGCGCGGCGCGCATTGCCAATCATTGGGGTTTAGTCCAGAGGTAAGCCAACGTTAATTTAGTGCTTCTTTTCGGCCTGTCCCTGGTCGCGCTTCTCTCTTCAAGTACCCATTCTTGGTTTAGTCAAAGGACCACCGCCAGACCGAAGCTGGGCCTGCTGGGGTTTTATACTGGGGTGCTGGGCAGAAAACCTTTTTAAAAGGGGACCAGGAAAAAAGAATAACCACCCGTGCAGACAACGCTTATTTCAGCGAGAAACTTCACTTTTTTATGACAAAAGTCCCTGTCAGACCATCGCTGTTCCCCTCGTAGTTCTGTCGCTACCTTGGGAGGAGACTGATTCCAGCACGGGCACACCGAATATGACCGTCAGAATTCACGTATTGCTGGCCTGCTCCTTTGCCTCTCTCTCTCTCTCTCTCTCTCTCTCTCTCTCGGGGGCATCGCCATATCAAGACTTTGGCTGCCCGCCAGGGTTTCTGAATCGGCTCGGTTTCCCCCACTTCATCAGCCCTTTTCCCACATAAACTCCCCTGGCCATGTCCCCGACTCATGTTTGCTTCCTCGACTCTATTCCGTTCCCGCCTCGCCCTCCCGCTTCCTGTGGCTAGTGATACCAAGCTTTTACGCTCGACAATCGTGCCGTGGCCGTTCGTTTGAGTTTCTACCTATCTCCACTAGCTTCCCATGTTAATTCAGAGATTCGCAACCGGTATCTCAAGGCGTAAAGGCCCAGGCCTCAAGCCCCACTCACCTTCTCCTCACAGTCACTTTTGCCCTTGACTCCTCTCATCAGTTAAACAAAAACAAATTATGACACAATTAGAACCTCTTCAAATTCTCGGCACCCAGGTTTGATCCATTGTAGTTCCATTCAAAGTCGACACGCCCCTCCCCTAGCGTCAGTTACCTCAACAGTCAGGAGACAAAAACGTGTCCTCTGCATACCCGTACAATACGACCTTGTTATGAATAAACTCCAGCGGAAACTAGCACCCATACGGAAAGTCGATGCACGCATGAGAGAAGCCGTGCCGTCCGTCCCAGACTCCCAGGTAAACCGCCTCTGCGACCTGCCTAGATCAGCAGGAGCATGGCAGGATCGTCGTTGAGGGGAGGGGGGGGCAGCTGCACGGGGGAGCCTATCTCGCTGCCCCCCGAGCGAGATCCAACTGGAGCCCGCCCGCCTGCCTACCGTGCCGCAGTCCGGGATGGAGGAGTCAGGGCACCGCCGTGCCGGGGTAAGCTGCGGCGTGCTGGGATTAGCTGAGCAAGGCACATGAGCAATGAGGCGCGCCAAAAGATGACACATGATCGACCTTAATTCTCCATTGCTATCCATACATGAGTCCTCTGCATTCCGGCGGGAGTCGGTAGAGTCGTGTGTCTCGAGGACGGGAATCCATAGCGCGGCTTTCCATCCCTTGCCGTAGAAAAGCAAGCACTCAAAACAAACGTATGAACCCGTCATGTCGGCAGCCTATCAAGATCCCCTTGCGATACCTACCTACGGATAATTGCAGTTGACAATCAGCGTCTGTGGCTATCCATACGCCCGGTTCCGGGTCCCCTCTCTCTCTTCAAGGCGCTGCAAACAGACATGGGGATGCGCAAACCACAGACCCGGGACAGAACTGCCTTCTCACTCAACTTTTCAAGCACGATATCAGGGCAATCTATGTTTTCTCGCTAATCAACCCGAGGAAAATGAAGAGCAGGGAACGGTTCAAGTTGCAGAGAAACAACTCAAGCACTCGGGTCCTGCTCGATTCATTCTTCGTCTCCAAATAGCCCACCTCTTGGCTGCCTAGTCCCCCTCCTCCCTCATACCACTCACTCAACGCTTGGCCCACCATCTATTATTGCCCCGAACGAAGAGGTGCTGTCCGCATACCATTACTAACACCAAGGAAGAATGCCAAGAAGGATCCCCCACCAATACGTCCGTCGCCATTTCGCCGCCGCTGCCGATATTCCCTTGTCCCACACCAGGAAAGCAGTGGCTGAGAAGGACCATGTGCTTTAAGGTCGGCCTGTCAGTGCCAAATCTTAAAACCCTAATGAATGAAATGGCCCTGCGAAGGTCACAATATCAGAAAACGGCGGCCAATAGTACGGTAATCCCCGAGGCTTGTCGGAGCGCGCGTACGCATGTCATATCGGGAACGCATCAACTGTGGGGAATTTGTTCGACCGAAATAGCACAGCATACCGGTTCATGCGAATGATCGCCGCCCTTGTCTCTCTTTCTCTATCGCTTGCTATTTTCTCAGAGTTCAGCTCAGCTTCACTGATAGTGATTTACGCCTCGTATCTCTTAACGGCCTGCGTAGATGGACCATCCCACTTCTTCATCGTGCGGCTGAATCGACTGATGCTCGGCATTTTGGGTTGCCTCAGCCAAGCTCGTCATGTTTGTAATATAGTAGGCGCATGGGCGATACCACCAACTCTCTATAACAATCGCTATTTGGAGATGCTTCCACTTTGATTCTGGATCTGGTAACTAGTTCGTTCTCTAACCATCTGATATCTCATGCCTCGCATGAATGCCGTCAATCAGCGCACGCAACCTCGATCTCAATTTCGTAAAAGGAAACCCGGCCACCTGGGTTGATCCGAAGTTCAAGATCCATCCAGGGCCCCGGCGAGCGGCCGTGTAACAATTCAAAAGTGTCCCAGATAGCGAGTGCACGAATAACCAGTGCGACCATGACATCCGCTCTCTTTCCCATCGCGACACCCCCCCGTAACACGCTCCGTCCGTGTAGAGTTCACCATCTAGGTTTTTCGTGACTCGAGTGTTTCTGGATCCCGTCAGATGTATAGGATGAACAGGTGTAAAGGTAAGCGGCATTCAACGCGCACTACCCACCAACCAAACCCGCCCTCGCGCCCTCCGCCTCCTGTCGGCGTCGTCAGCTTCTTGTCTGCGAGATCCGGGCCCTCCATCACATCGCGCACAGAACGCAGCCCGTCGAGCGCAAGCCTTTGAACCATCGCATCGGTGCTTCTCTAGTGTCTTGCGTCCCTTCCCCGTTCTCGGTGCCGCGATGAAGCTCCTCCTCGCAGGCAAAGTCCGTCCGTTCGTGCGGCACCGATTCGGCAACGAGAGAGGGTAATGAAAGATACCTACATGGCCGGTCGAGATCTTGGACAATGTGGCTGAACCAAAACAAATTGCAAAATCGGCCCATATGTGTGAACCCCCCGACATCAACAGCCAGCCACCGAAAGCCACAAACGCCGTTCCACGAGACCATCATTCTCCGTAACCCCAAGTGCCAAACAGCTCCGCCTCAGCATCAAACCATGTCACAACACCCACCACCGAGTCCCCCGTGCTCCCGTCAGTCATCCGTCAGATCCCAAACTCACCGCCCCCTTCGTCAGACTTTCAGTCCCAAGTGGCCTGGTGAGACAGGGCCCGGCTGACACCTGCAACGCAAACACGCTGCACAACCGCAACGGCGGGCGGGCAACCATCAGCACGGCACAGCATCGCATCACCAACACCAGCGAGGCCGACAAAAGCCGTAGTACGGCGTAACCGTCGACAGCCGAAACAGAGAGAGAAAAAAAAAGGCCCTCCCCCGCCCTTCCCCTCCGTCTAATCTCTCGACGTCCACCCGTTCCATGGCTTTACCTGACCTCTCTCCGCGGATCATCAAGCTTAATTTGTCCTCCTCCAGTGCCCGCCCACCGGTGCCTCACCCCTCTGGTACTACGTACTCGGTCGGTGGTGTTTTTAACGTTTTTGGCACTTTTGACAGGTCTTGTATGCCCGAGAACCGACGCCCCTCTGTGGTGCCCTCGCAACCCGCCGCAAGCTTGAACAACGACGGACAAATATGCCTCGCACAGCATGTGTGTTCAACTCCCCCCCTTGGACAAAGCTAGTATGCCTGTCCGTACCTGACAGCAATCTTCCCGGATCAACAGATGGCAGACTGTCCAAAAACACTGAAATTTGCCTCCCGCCAAAGTTCCAAGATTTCCGTTAAGCGTCGGCGCTGAGGCCGACTGCTGCGTCGCATCGCAGGCCGAACCTCCCGGCGTCCGCACTCTCCGAGAAAGGGGGGACCCCGCCAACAGCCCCCGGATGTCCCTTCAAACTGCTCCTCTTACAAGAAGCTCCAACCTTGACCGTCCCATCCGATATCCTCTCCCCTCCCTTCTCTCTGTTATTCTCGACCTTAAAAAGTTAATCAAGCTAGGAGGATAGTCCCGGTTTTAGGTTTACCTTCGTTCGCCCACCGAAGCTTCTTTCCTCGCCAAGACATGTCAAGTTGCGATGTTTAACGAGAGGGTGTAGGAGAAGCACTGAGCGATGAAGGTCGCACCGTAACATTTGACAATTAATTTAGCAGTGATACTCGTCAACCTCGACTATCCCAATCCGGTCCGCTCACCTTTCCCTAAACGGTGTTGCGACGCCGAGGGATCTTTGACGTAACGAGGTGTTTCCATCGGCAACGGAACGTACAACTCTCGTTTGGCTTTGTCTAACAGAGGGGCATACGATTGGTGAAACGTTTCTACCCAAATCTCTCGTTGACATATTGCACGCCGTACGTCGATCCCAGAAGCCTGGCCACCATCGAAAACAAGACAAGAAACAGATGTATCTCTGCCTTGCGCTTCCCTTTGACCTTGACTACCTACATGTCACTTCTTCTGCAGAACGTCTTAGCCGGCAGGATGCATGAGTAGCGAAACAAGCTAACTGGGACTGATGGTTGGGTGGGTTTGTGTGTGTGTGTGTGTGTGTGTGTGTGTGTGTGTGCAAGTCTGTGATGACTTGCTCTCTGCAAACCCAAACCAACGGCGCATATAACCAGATCAAACAACCAACCAACCTGCAGCTGATGCCTGCGTGATGTGGGTGAGTCCAGTGGAAGGATGCAGCTGTGGTTCGATGTGCCATGTCTCTCCCCTGGTCCTCTAGTCAGGCGAATCGGGCACTTTTGTCTCCCAAAGCAGACAAGTTGGCATCCCGCAGGCGTGCCGTGTGCGTGATAGATGATCTGGCCTGAGCCATGTATACTCTATCCCACGTACCATACGGTCCACCCGATTTCACTTCAACTCATGTAAATTGATTAAATGGGAGGGGGGAAAAGCATAGCCTCAATAACAACAAACGCTCATTCCCCCCCCCCGAATCGAGCAAACCGTTGCCGAGTCTCCCGTCCAACAAGGCGGGAACACGGCAGACCAAACGGCAAAGGTTAACCGTTGGGTAATTTAGGTAATACTCAAATGGCAATCTGAATTCGCGCCTGTGCCCAACTGCCCATACCAGCAGCGCCATTAAGGTTGGCCCAGAGCTCACACCCCTCACGGGCCTCACCCCAGCTAGTCCAAGTCTTCTTTTTTTCAAAGTTCTTCCCTTTGCTCCCGAATTGAATTTGGACGAACGGGATTCCGGCTCACGAGGTAGGGGGGGGTCTTCTAATGTACACCCTCCCCCGGGCCCCCCTAGGTTCCCCTCCATTTACACTAGATTCGTGACCATTTGGGAATAAAGAGTCGGAGAAACAGAGTAGGTAGCCCGTCGTCGAGAACATGCGCCATGAACCAATCACTAGCGAGCCGAAGAGCCGGGTACTCGTCACCCATCTACGCAATCTCGGATCAAGGCAATCGTGCAAATGTAAATGTGCTCAGAGGCACGGAAAATGACGCCGAGACCCGTCTTGCTGCTACCATCACCATCCAGACAATCATCGACGTCAGGCATCTCTTGCACGGAATTGACGTTCGGGCCACGCCGCTGCAACAAACTCGCATCGTTTAAACATTATCCATCAGGTCTAGATCATCCCATTCCCTGGGCACGCCCGGGAAAGCAGTCCAGCATCTATCCGTATCTGTACAGCCTATTTGGCTCACGGGACAGCGGCTATCGAATGATGGAAAGAAAGGAAAAAAAAAAAAAACACGCTGACCAGCAACTTTTTCCAAGCAAGCGAGGCGTGCGAGCACCACGCCCGCGCGCGCCCGCGCCCGCGCAGTTGGGAAGCGATGGCGCAGAATCCCTCGGAGATGAGCCCAGATAGACTTTAGGGTGCCTCTACTCTAACCAGCCCAAGGCTCGCAAGATCCGTCCAGACGAATCACAAAAGGGCAGAAAGGCTTGTTTGCAGGACCATCAGCCCTGTAGGCTGGGAGGGGGGGGGGGGGGGGGGGGGGGGGGGGGGCGGGGGGGGGGGGGGGGGGGGAGGGGGGCGGCGAGGGGGCAGACGGAGGGGGGGGAGGGGGGGTGGGTGGGGCGCGCGGCGGGGGGGGGGGGGGGGGGGGGGGGGGGGGGAGGGAAGAGTCGAAGGAGGTGTGGCACTGGCACGCGTCCTCCCCTCCCCGGGGTTGAGTCAGCAGAGTCAGCAGGAGTCAGCCAAAGGAATGCTCGTCGATAAAGCTAGACCCCCTTTGAGAATAGCCCCGTCGTCCATCTCCCTTCCTTTACCAACAACGTATGTCGAGACCTGGACATCTCCGTCTACAAAAGGGTGTCAACCCTTACCAGATTTTCTGCAAGAAGGCTGTCTTCCGGAAGTTGATGACATCGCTCGACATGAGAAGTGTGACGGCTTGCGGGATTGGCTCATGGACCAAGGCCGGCTAAGCTTGATTCCCCATCTTCTTGTAACCGGGAGGCCCTGGGCCCGACTATTTGAGTCTAGGTATCTAGTATCAGAGAGAGGATTTAGGTCCTGCCACTTCGGCCTACGGCACAACGGCGTCTCCACTGCCAATATACGGGAGTCTGCCCTCTAGGAGAAGAGAGGGTTTCCAATTCAAGGTCGCTCGAGAAGTACAGAGTACCTACAGTCCTACACGTTGTATGGTAATCGATGATCATCGGAGCATCGGCATCATCCAGAAATTGACTCGCCATGGGCCCCGTAGCATCCGTATCAAGTAGGGACAAAGTCATCCACTCCTTGGCCTGCTCAAACAGGCACAAACCTTGACTTGGCGATGATCCTTTGGGCCTTGGGTGGATAAGAATGTGTGTCCCGCCAAACGGCGTACCATTGCACACAAACGAGGCTGGCCTCTTTCTGTTGCCGCCAAGGCCGCGTTGGCGCTGCTGGTGCATTCGTATCCTGGTGGGCTCGTACGCGGACGGTGGAACACAATGTACTTTTGCTGTCTGATTAGGCGGGTTCGTATCCGTACTGAGCAGTGAAACTTGTCTTCTACGCGACAGAAAAGTAAAGAATGCTGAAGACTAAATAGTGCCATACCCGCAGTCCGCTTATATCCGTACAAAAGACCAGATTTCTGCCGCACACGCCGCATACGCACACACGGTTCGACAATCTAATGACTGAGTACTCGGTAATGTGGGAGCCAAGATTTCCTTCGCTCGACGGGCTCGACGGGTCACGCGAAGAAAGGGGTGGGTCACACAAGACCGAAGCATCCTTGCGTCAAATCACGACGGTGGACCGAACAGAGACAGGCCTAGTTCGAGGCAAAACGCCGCGCCAATCAGTACATTCCTCGGGCTGGACCATGTCAATCCGACAATCACTGCAGACTGGATAAGCAAGATTGTCGAGTCGACTCGATGAATGGCCCAAAAGCCTTGCTGCTTGTCTTGTGCCAGAGGGGATGTTGGGAAAACTGCCAGTGAAAAGGAGCCAGATAGCTGCCAGCGGCCAGCGCCAGAGCACCATGAGCAGGTTTAAGCATGAATTTAAGCGTTGGCAG